TGAAGCAGTCGATTGGACCACTGTTTTATATAGTTTCTACAAGAACAATTGGTCGGAAAGTTTTTTATACCCTGAACCCATTAAAAATGGGTATAAGGGTATATTGTATTTGTGCAAAATCCAAATGTATGTAACAGGCAGGAGGAAGCTTATCCGACCCCATAAAGTATATATATTCTTGATCAGCATCAATAGCCGAGTCGATCTAGTCATGTCCGTCTGCCCGTCCGTCGTATGTATGAACGCAAGGATCTCATAACCTATAAGAGCTAGAGACTTAAAATTTTAGATGTAGGTGCTCTTGACGACTTACTCCGTTTTCAAGCAATCGATAAAAATTGATATCGATATCCTGTTTTTTGGGCAATTTTGGTAAATAATAAGAGCTAGAGTCACCAAACTTGATATATAGCTTCTAAAATAGAATATATATATGCATTTGATGTTGGAAGAAGAGGGTTCAGGGTATCTCCTAGTCGGCAGCTCCCGACTAGAACCTCTTACTTGTTTTTATTTACATTCAGTGGGTAAACATATGAGTAGATATGGTTATTATTATTGCTTTCAAAACTAAAAGAGAATGATGAATTAAATCAGCTCAAGTAAGGGTCACCCTAGTTCAAAATTTTAACAAACATAACTAAAGCTTTAAAGTCTGACAGAATGGTTTCTTTCAGTTTTGTAATTTTTGGAAAGTGTGGTATTATCTGGAGCAGACGGCCAGGATCAAGTTTATTTGCTTATAGAATTACAGTTGAGTCCGACCTATTGTAATTTTAATTTTTATACTAGCAGAGTGTGTACAAAAATTAACATTTTATTATTTTAATGACAATATGATTATAAAGCTTTATCATATGCTAGGAGGGTTTTGAACTTAAGTATAGTGGCAATTGTTATCATCTTTGGAATATATTATATTCTAGTAGAAAATTATTATTTAAGAGAGATTGAAGTCGAGAGGGAGATAGAGAGCAAGAGTTATATCAGCTGTTATCTAATCTTGATTGTAGATTGGAAAGCCTCGATAATATTAAATTGGTACAGAAGCTGTTGTACCCACATGGAGTATCTAGCATGCAGCTAAAACTGTTTTCTAACTCAAGTATATTGCACTTCCTTGTTTATTCTATTATTTTTATTTTATTAGTGGTCGATAAGACGAGTCTCAGCCAAGATATTTTATTCATTATATTTAAAAAGTTGCTAATATCATCACCAATACGATGAGTAATGAATTCTTCCGGGCGGCCAAGCATGCCTCTATCCACAGCTAATTTTGTCATTACTTTAGACCTCTCATGAAGAAGGCGTTAGTAGGGAAAGAAGTATTCTTAATTAAAAATATTCTTAAATATTTATACCTAGTTTAAATATATAATAACTGACTGAGTCAGTCTGATTTGGCTGATTTGAGCACAGCTCAAAAAAACTCTAAAATCTAGGAAGCTGAAATTCTTACTCTATTGACCCTATGTGATGGTGTTTAGTTTATGTTTACCGTTCGACCTCAAACCTACAAATATATTTCTTCAAATTTATTACAAAAGTTATTCACATTTTTTTGTAAATACATCTCTCCTTAGTGGATTTAGGGTTCAAAGATTTGCTTAATGAGGTTTTAGATCGAATAAATATTGTCTGCATTATAATTAGATCTGATAGAATTATTTATATATTACGTAAGCAATTAATTGTTATATGTATAGAAACCTTTACATGTTGGTTAAATCATGCAGTTATCTTTAGAGCTTTAGGGCTTTCAATTTCCTTTTATTTCACAAAACAATGAATTCTACTCAAAGTTTATAAGCGCGCTTGTCAAAGCTTTTCGAAAGCTTTCTTCAGCTTTTAAACAAAAAGTCACTTAAAATGTGGTATAAACGGCATTCAGTTTCATTATTGTTATACACTACCGATAGTTCGCATAGAAAGAAAATTAATATCAAAGTGTTAAGAATAGAAAAAGCAACATGGACCCAAATAAAAATGTTGATAGCTTTAATGCTGATGAATTGGTAGCACCCGAGTGGCTAAATGTGCTGTTCTTTGAGGAAGTGCTTCGCAAACATGAAAAGGCGCCTGATCTGAAAGTCCTGGATCTCCACATGATTCCAGCAAGTGAAAAGGGAGATCACTACGCGAGCGTTATGTTTCGTGCGAATGTTTCATTTAACACACAGAAGGGGAAGCTCTCCAAGTCGCTGATCATTAAGACCATGCCCGATCAGGAGGGTCACAAGAAAGAAATGCTCGAAACCTCAAATATATTTCGTACCGAGATAGCCATGTACACGAAGGTGTTGCCCAAGTTTGAGGAGATTCTTCGAGAGGCGGGCGATAATACCAGACTATGTGTGCCCTGCATTTATTGCAGTTTGAATCCGCGAAAGGTAATGATCTTTGAAGATCTGGTGCCCCAAGGGTATACGATCATAAGGAAACGCAACGCAACCATCGATGAGCTGAAGCTTGCATTTCTTAAGCTTGCCAAATGGCATGCAGTCAGTGTTCATATGCTGCAAGAGGTAAGCCTGAAATATGATTTAATAGTAAGCAACGATTCTTTATACTATTCCTGTACTTTAGCAACCCGATTATCTGCAAGAACTTAAATACGGCCTGTTTGAGATACCAAATATGCGACAAGACCCCTTTTGTACCACAGGCATGCGAAAGTTCCTCGATTTGCTGGAAGAGATTCCGGAATTGAGAAAGTATATACCTCATTTCAAGAAGATGGAAAATGATTATGTAGATCGCTTGGGAGCTGTAATGCAGGAGTATCGCAATAATCGCCAACCAAATGGATATTACGTCCTCTGCCATGGCGACTTTCATCTAAAAAACATGATGTTCAAGCACAAGGCAAATGGAAGTTTGGAAGATGTCATGTTATTAGATTTTCAAATAAGCAACATTTGCCCGATTACCATAGATCTGATCTATGCCGTTTATATGCTGATGGGAATAGAAGATCGTCACAATAACTACAAAGAACTGATTAACTATTACTTCTCCGAGTTCCTCACAACATTGCAGAATATTGGCTTTAAGGGCGAGTTGCCGAATTCGGTAGAGTTTTGGCAACAAATGTCCCAGCATAAGTGCTATGGTAAGTAACCACTTGGAAGTCGCTTTCAGCTATATATTGTATGTTATATTCATGTTGAACATTTCTTAGATATTTACTTGCTAACTACATTTTTGCCAATGATGTGTGCCCTTAAGCTGTATGCCTTTGACCCTGCTGATATATTTCAACACGAAGATGTGCGAAAAACAATGTACCGTCTAGATTTGTATATCGAAGATGTGAAGAATCTGTTGTCCAGATTCGAAGAAGAGGGATACTTTGCAGAGTCTGTTTAATTTGTTAATGATAAATCTCAGCTCAAGCCAAGATATGCCTAAAAAATATATGTGTTGTCTAAAAATATTTGTTGTGGTTATTTGTAAATAGTGTAGTTTCTGGCAAAGCGCTAATCACGTGTAAGAAGACATTATGCAAATAAAATAAATTGAGGTTTTTTAACCCCGGACTAAGGTGTGCTTAGCCCACCACGCTACTCAACCCACTGTTTTTGGCCTGCGAAAAAGGACATTTAACAGCATTTTAGTTAACAAAACAACATAATAAAGGTAATAATTTTGAATTTAATTTTTTTTTAAATTTGTTATTATTGCTTTGAGTTGGCGACCTGCCGCCTGTTGTTGGCTATGTTGTTGCGTACATTAGTTTCAAATAAACTACGTGGACGTGTTTTTCTAAAACGCTGTCTTAGTTAGGACTTCAAGGATCTTCGTAATTAGGAAGTCTCTAATTAGTCAGATCAAAGTTTATATATTGATTACATAGACAATGAGACGAACGAAACCTGGGCTTATAAGAATTTAAGAACAGGTTCTCGAGTTCAATCTCTGAAATGGACCATCAACAATTTGAGCTTGCAGCCATGTTTGCAATATTTATTAAAAAATATATTTTATGGTAAGAACATGTACAAGAAATGAATTAAATTTTATCGAACCAGAACATATAAAAAATAAAACAACAATTATCTGCCTAATTACAATATAAAACGAGAAAGAAAGGTTATCTTCGGCACGCCGAAGATCTAATACCCTTGCAGACCCAACCTTTTCATAATGCTTATAGTGCTTTGCCCGTATCCAAGAAGCACAGGGAAAATAGTTAATGCCGAGCTTGGGCAAGATATCTCGATAAACAAATTGTTTTTTCATACAACAACTTAATTTTCGACCGATCGTTCATATGGCAGCTATATGATATAGTGGTCCGATCTTAATAGGATTTTGCATATATATGAGGAGTAAAGTAAAACTAATAATGACAGCTATATGATATATTGGTCCGATCCAGCTGGTTTTCACATATGAGCTGCGTGCCACAGAAAGAGGGACTTCTGCAAAATTTCAATAAGATAGCTTTAAAACTGAGAGACTAGTTCGCATAGAAACAGACAGACGGACAGACGGACATGACTCTATCGGCTGTTGATGCTGAACAAGAATATATATACTTTATGGGGTCGGAGATGTCTCCTTCTATGCGTTACACATTTAACGACAAAATTATAATACCCTCTGCAAAGGTATAATGAAGGCCTTATCGGCCTATTTCACAAGGTTATCGAGCTTTGAAAAAGCAATTTAAGTGGCCCATTCCGTCATTTGAAGCATCCATACGATATTGATGAAGGAGAGAAAATAGAGAGAGGTAGAATAAAATAGATGTAAACAAGGCAAATAAGAAGCGAGAGAGAGTGAGAGAGAGTAATCTCAGTGTCTCTCAAATCTTTGATAAGATGCTTTCTTTTAACATAACATAAATTAAATTGTTTCTTGTACTTTTATATTTATTTATAAAAACCATAAAAAAATGTATAAGCCCATTAATAGATAACAACGGTTATCAAGTACAAATATTTTTATTTTCAGAAATCAATCAAACTATGAGTCACACAGAGCTTAACACGTTTGCCAAAATTACGAGAACACTTTTGCAAAAAATTTCACTTAAATAGTTGACGCATGTAGAGGGAACTTTTAGTATCGTGTGTTCAGTTGGAGAGCCGGTATAGTCAACAGATTGTGTCGATATTATAAGTATTAGTAACAAAAATTAAAAACGATATGACAACTGAAAGTAGCGATAGCTTCAGTGCTGACGAATTAGTGGCACCCGAGTGGCTAAATGCGCAGTTCCTTGAGGAAGTGCTTCGCAAACATGAAAAGGCGCCAGAACTAAGTGTCCTGGATTTCCGCATAACGCCAGCCAGTGCCAAGTCAGATCACTACGCGAGCGTCATGTTTCGTGCGAATGTTTCGTTTAGTACACAGGAGGGCAAGCTCTCCAAGTCGCTGATCATCAAGACTATGCCCGATCAGGAGGGTCACAAGAAAGAAATGCTCAATAGCTCAAACATCTTTCGGACCGAGATTGGCATGTATACGAAAGCGTTGCCCAAGTTCGAGGAGATTCTTCGAGAGGCGGGCGATAATACCAGACTATGTGTGTCCTGCATCTATTACAGCTTGGAGCCCAGACAGGTAATGATCTTTGAGGACCTGGTGCCGCAAGGCTATTCGGTTGTAAGAAATCGTGACGCAACCAAAGACGAACTGAAGTTAGCGTTCCTTAAGCTGGCTAAATGGCATGCGGCTAGCTTTCATATACTGCATGAGGTATGCCGAAAATAGAATTACATAATAATCAAATATTTAATCATACTACTAAATTTATTAACTTAAGCAACCAGATTACTTGCAAGAATTCAAACATGGCTTGTTTGAAATGCCTAGCGTTTTGAAAGATCCTTTTTTTAACTCTGGCATGGGTACGTTTATTGGATTACTTGAGGAAGTTCCAGAATTAAGAAAGTATGTACCTCATTTTAAGAAGATGGAAAATGATTATGTGGATCGCTTGAAAGCCATAATGCAGGAGTATCGCAATAATCGCCAGCCCAACGGCTATTACGTCCTTGGCCATTGCGACTTTCATCTGCGTAATATGATGTTCAAGTATAGCAAGGACAATGAAAGTTTGGAAGATGTTATGCTAGTGGATTTCCAAATGAGCAATATTTGCCCGATAACTCTTGATCTGATCTATGCTGTATATATGCTGATGAGCATGGAGGATCGGCATAATAACTACAAAGTACTGATTAACCATTACTTTTCCGAGTTTGTTGCATCATTGCAAAAAATTGGCTTTAAGGGCGAGTTACCGAATTCGGTAGAGTTTTGGAGACAAGTATCCCAACATAAATACTATGGTAAGGCTTTACTTGTGAAAGTTTAACTTATAAATAGATCTTTAGTACTTTGACTGCATAATTTTTAGATATATTTTTGGTTACAACATTCTTGCCAATGATGGGAGCCCTTAAGTTAAAAAGCTTCGATCCCGCTGAACTGATGCAAAAGGAAGAGGTGCGGAAAAAGTTGTACCGTTTTGAAAGTTTCATCGAAGATGTTAAGTTTTTGTTGGCCAGATTTGACGAGCTAGGCTACTTTGAGTAAAATCGGATGTTAAAATTATATAGAACTGTTATTGAATTCATCAATAGATATCAAATTAATAATAAATATAGTTTTATTGGTATTATTTATCATTAAATCAGTACCAATTCAATGCAAATGCAAAAATAACTTGATTAGTGATCTGTTTTTTTTTTTTTATTATTTATTTCATATTTGATAGTTTCATTTTTTCGATATGTTTGAATGCTTTCAATAAGTCAACTAAAATTGCTATCGTTCTGATAGTATAAATTTAGCATATTAGAGGTTGTCAATTAAAGCTATGCCGTGTATTTTCCTTGGGTACGAAAAGCACGAATCTTACGATATTTATTACTATTCTGAATATAGTATTTTTTTCGGAAGCCCTACATGTTGAAACTTATCTAGAAATAAGGTATAATTACGTATCCAAGAAACCTGATAGCTCGAACTCTTTGACAGTGCGTTGTAAAAATGCGCGATATTTGGGATTCTCCACGTTCTCGCGTCGAAAACGATCGCCATTCTCTGTTCGTGAGTTCAGATCCTCAAGATTATCGAAGCCCGCATCTTCCCGGAATATCAGCGGCGTTAGACAAGTGGCCGCAATGACTCCTAAAGAGTTTTAAAATATAAGATACTGTACATGATATATGGTATGGAACTTTATTTGAACTCACCAATCAGGCTATTTTGAATAAGCTCAATGTGAATCTCTTTGAGAGTTGGAATGTGACCCTGGTATTCAAGTTTTTCTAGAGTTTCTTTAAGTACGCGCTGATATTCATGTATAATAAACTTTAAGTGCACCTTACGCACATTCTCATTGAGAGAGCCAAATAGAAAATAGTTTAGATCAACAGCTGGTGAGCCCAGAAATGCCAGCTGGAAGTCCAACTGTAAGAGATTCAATAGATTATAAAACGCTTGATGGTAGAAAATAAGTGCGTCTGGTCGAGGACTTCCGACTACATTCAGCTTTACAACATACATGCTTATTTACTTATACCCAAAAGTCCCACTAATAATAGATCCTGTGAATAAAATCGATCTGTCTGATATTTTCAATTCATAAATATGTCCAAAAAGTTGAGGCTTCACGTTTAAAAATGATTATAGTTTTGCGTTCGATTAAGATAGATACGTGCATCGAAATATTATGCTTTGTGTTGCTAAGTCATATAATATCGTGTATATCTGTTACATACTTCTGCACAACTGCAATATACCCTTTTTTTCTTTACCAATTTGAAAATAAGAACTTACGGCAACAACATTATCGGGTTCCTTCGTTTCATTGTTAATATGAAACATTAGATTGTTGATCCAAATGTCGGCCATGTTAAAAACTTTAAAGCCCTTCTCCTGCTCCTCATACATATGCACGGCGCTCTGGAGCACATTTTCGGCTAGCTTAAACATCTTCTCAGTGATCTCCTCAAAGCCCTTCCAGTGGGCAATCTCTTCAGCCACGCAGCGTATGTTTACCGGAAAGAAACTAAGAAAATCACGACGATCCGGATTGCGAGAGATGGGCGCTTCGTTGAAGAACTCTAGCACTTCGGGATTCTGCTTGGCTATGACAGCACTGCAGGCATGAAGCTTGGCCAGTTTCTCCACGCTGGGCAGCACATAGTCTAAGTTGAGTAGACGCCCGCGTTCAAAGTTTTCGTATCCGCTCAGTTGCATGTCCTCCAAAATGAGGAATGGCTCCGGACTCTCCGTCGTGTAATAGCAGATGGGTGCAATTTTCGCCTTGTCGCCAATGGATTCGAGGAGCGCCTGTACCCGCGGCAACACTTCCTTATAAGTCAGGATCTCACGCTTGAACAGTTTGCTTCGCAGAGCAATGGCGCCCGTCTGACCCTTCGGATGATCCTTGACAAACACCGAGAACTTGCTCTTCACGTTGCCGCGCTGCAGATTGAAGCAGGCGCGATGCATTTCACTGGCAAAGCCGACAACGACATCGCCCACTTGGGCGCTTTTCACTAGCAAATCGCTAACGATGAGCGACTCCTCTTTGAAGTGCTCCTTCAGCACATCCTGCAGAAATTCCACGGTCAGCCACTCAGGTGCTTGGTAATTCTTCTTGCCGGTGCCCATTTTAATTAAACTCTTTTTTTTTTTACTTTTTCAAGTCACCTGACTTATGGGAAAATATACTTTAATAAACAGCGAGCAGCTGAGCGCCAGCGGCTGTTGAGTTAAGCTGTTAATTGCAGAGTGCGACCGAGAGCGAGAGCGAGAGACGCCCGCACAGAAAAGCTCTCGCTGGCAACAACTCACGTGGCCACGGCCCCACTCGAAAAGCTCTCTCTGTTATTAGCTCTCGTTGACATACGCTGCGTTTATCAGCTGACGGCCAGTAGAACAAAAAGGGAACGTGGCGCATGTTATGATAATACATTAGCAAATAAATTATAGTCGACTTAGAAATACCCTAAGATAATTACATTTCTGTTCAGAATTACAGTTATCGCTCGCTTGAGGCGATATTAATTCGCAAAAAATGTCCAATTCCTGCAAGCCGTATTTTGCAATATAATACGTTACATATAAAACTGATGAAACTAATACTATATATTTCTCAATATGCAGCGACATATTGATTTGTTATATATATAACAAATATATATATACGAAAATTACTAGAGTAAAGTTATTCTTGTTTGTATATTTGTTTATGATTGTATATTCCTGTTTGTAATAAAAGAAGAGTAATTCCTTCATTTATTATTTTTATCAGATCAAAGTCAATTAACGACTTTGAATATCTTCAGATCTATAATTTGTATAGTGTAAATAGGTTGTGTTCAGTATGGTATGATTATATCGAAAAAATGATATACATGCACGAATTTAAATCAATCAATCATTTGATAATCACTCATAAGTAGCAAACCTAAAAATGTTTTGTGGTAAGTCAAAGTCGCTTCCTTATAATCAAAACACTTAGAAAACCGATCGGGGAGAATATAAAAAACAAAACTAAAAATAAATAAGGAAGTGATCACTACGAAATACTCTGAAACTAGGTCTAAGCCAATAGAAATGTATATTCGTCATATTGTATGGAAAATATGCAATCGTTAAGAATGTTTAAGATATATTAGTATATACATGATAGCACATGCATATGATAATATATATCTTTTGTCTATCTGTTTAAATGGTCGATTATGTGGTCTGTTGGCAAATGCAGAGCATTTGCTAGTCGATTGTCCCCAACTGCATTATTATCAATTGTTTTCTATTTCGGTTGATTTTGATAAAATATTCAACCGACTTTGTCGCAGCTAAACAAAAGATAAATCTTCCAAGATAGCCAAAAGTGACTGCTATATTTACAGATAGGAGAAATTCGTCCAACAAGTGTAAGTAAATATAAATAATAATTTCTTAAAATTCTAATAGGCCACGTCTATGCAGGAATGGAAATATGCTTAAGGCGGCCCGCACATACAATGGATTTGTGTAGACCTTGGCACGAAAGCGATCCCCATCCTCACCAGGCAGCATTAGCTTGGGCAGACTTGCCCCATTGTCCACGGGTAGTAGAATGAGCACCAGATGCATAAAGGTGGTAAAGTAACCTGCGGGTGGGACTTACTAAATAAAAGCCTTTAATCGGAACATGCTCCCCAGAACTCACCCCAGAAACCATGCTTGAGCATGCTCATGTGCAGTTCCCTGAGCAAAGGCAACGGCTTGGCATAGTTCAGCAATTTGAGGCATTGGATAAGATGTGTGTGATATATTCTAACAAAACAATCAAATTGTTTTGTTCTCAGACTATGATGCGAGGAGCATATGATCAGCTCCCATAAATCTTGAGCGGGACTGCCCCATTTGCAGCGTTGGAAGTCCACAAAATGTATCTCCTTGATATCACAGGCCAAAGTGCTATTGAGTAAAATATTGCCAGACCAAAAATCCCCGTGATTAAGTACCTTAAATTCCAGTGGATCGTTGTTAAAGCAACGGGCAGCACATTGCACAAACTGATCCGCTGTCGGCTTCATATAAAGAGTATATCAAATTATAATATATATTGCATATATATTTACTTACAATTCTGCTCGTGTAGAGGTCGGGATTGCTAAAGCCCCATGTGGTCATGGCCGTCTTATAGCTCTGTATTCGCGCCTGATACGACTTGGATCTGTTATAGTTGGCAGGCAGATAGATACGTTGGAAATCCTCCGGATAGGCACCATTGCGCTGATGCCAGACCGCGCTGGCTGCATGGAACTCGGCCAGTTTCTCCAGTACTCGCTGCATTTGTTTCATATTGAAACCCTTGAGCCGATTGATATTGCTAAACTTTTTGGTCTTCAGATCCTCTAGCACCAACGAGATGCGTCCATTCACATTCTCCGCCCAGTGGCACTTGGGCGAAAATTTGACAGATCTGCCCTGTTCCTGATAAAGCTGCTCCAGCTGTGGTATAATCAGCTCATACATTTGTTTCTCCTTCGGAAATATGTTGAGCGTGTTGATATAACCTATGCCCGCCGCATCAGTGAGCATGGTTTTCATAATATACGACTTTTGTTGGGTGAATCCATCTATTTATATAGACATATGCATAACAATTATTAGGTCAGCGGCATTGGGTGATTGCCGTATTTACCTTTGCCTCACCTTTCATTTCAATGTCGATTATAATGCGCATTAGCAACGAGGTGTAGCTCTCACATTCGCCAGGCGGCGAGGCCGGTATTATAGAGAGATTCAGTATTTTTCGAAATTCGGTTAGTTCACGTTTTAGCAATTTCTTAAAATAGGCCTCATTGATCCAGCTAGGTATATGGATGTGCACATCATTCGATTCACAGAATTTGTTGCTGTTATCGGGCATTCTGACTGATATGCAAGTGGGCACTGAAAGATCTGGTATCTGGCCTCGTTCTATACTGTTCTGTACGCTCCGACCAGCGAGACGCAACTGTTTGCATTCTTATCAAGCATGATTTTCAGGCCCCTGTTTCGGTTTCTTTCAGGTCTACGTAGCACGAATATTATGTTAGCATGTAGGTGTTCCTGCCTAACCAAGGCAGGTGAGATTGGACGCTCTGGAAATCTTATCAGGTATTGCTCACTGAACGGGTTCTCCTTGTTCTATTCAACCGGTTCGCCAAGTGCTACATTAATTGACTGTGATAATAAAAGCGTAAGAGAGTTTTACAGAGAGCGCAGCGAATGTAAGAGCAACCCTCTCATACTAGCTTTGGTCAAGCATTGTATTTGTTTAATAGGTAATTCATCAGTTATTGATGAGCACTTTTATTATACTTATATATACGTTTGACATCTCACATAAGTAAAGTATTCAAACTTATCTCTGAACAAAACAGTCCTTAGTTTGGGTACACTCAACTTAGTAGTCTTCTATTATTATTCATTTTGTCTTTACCATAAACACTTTTATATTTATCACCAATTAACAATATATGTATATGCATTTCGTTCTACAAGGTTACAATAGCAAGCGTGCAATGTGAGGCCAGTTCAAACTGGACTCAATTAACTCACAGTTTTTATTTCATGAGCAACATACGAGGGTTGCCTTAAAATTAAGTGCCCTGGCAGCATTCAGTGTTAGAATCCATTTGACAATACCAGGGGAAAGCTTGACATTGTGGTTCGAAATAATTTCTCGTGAACTTTTGATTTTGAATAATATATCTTATATGTTTTTATATTTATCAAAACGAAATCATTTTATATATTTACAGGGAGTACATCTCAAAGTTAATGTCGAAAAATTCGTACATGTATATTAAATAAACATGACTGTAGACGACGTCAAATAGTTTGACTCGAGAGAAACCAAACTAATTGTTTATCATCATCTTACCTAATCTTACTTATTTTATAGAAACTCTCATTATATCATATTTCTAAATAGTTCTATTTATACCCTGAGCCCATTAAAAATGGGTATATGGGTATATTGTATTTGTGCAAAATCGAAATATATGTAACAGGCAGAAGGAAGCATCTCCGACCCCATAAAGTATATATATTCTTGATCAGCACCAATAGCCGAGTCGACCTAGCCATGTCCGTCTGTCTGTCCGTCCGTCCGTCCGTAAGTATGAACGCAAGGACCTCAGAACCTATAAGAGCTAGAGACTTGAAATTTTAGATGTAGGTGCTCCTAGCTCCCGCGCAGATCGAGTTTGTTTCCGATAATCGATAACTTACTCTGTTTCCAAGCAATCGATAAAAATCGATATCGATATCCTGTTTTTTGGGCAATTTTGGTAAATAATAAGAGCTAGAGTCACCAAACTTGACATATAGCTTCTAAAATAGAATATATATATTCATTTGATGTTGGAAGAAGAGGGTTCAGGGTGTCCCCTAGTCGGGAGCTCCCGACTAGAACCTCTTACTTGTTTTTTTTAGATGAACGATAGAAAAACAAAACCTGCTTCAGTTAGATTGTATCACAGTCGCAGCCATTATTTCACAGCACGCTAAAATTGATAGTAGAGACATCCGAGTTTCTGAATTCTGACATTCTAATCATCAACTTTAAACAAACCGCGTTGACAGTAAAATGCATATAAGCACTTACCCTGTTAAGCTAATTGTAGATGTTATATTAATTTTAAATATCAATATTTCACTCATAAAAAATTAATTTTAAATATCAATATTTCACTCATAAAAAATTCTATTGTCAAATCTTGCACTGTAACGTTTTTAGAAAAAAATATTTTTTTTAAACGATTTTTTTGCCAAATTTTTCGATTTTTTTCTCAATGTATTATATTTTTACAAAATTTAAGATACGGATATCGGATCAACGCAACTGATTGGATTAACTTAAGGGCTTTGGTTAAATCTTAAGCCATCCTAGGTCTTTCTTCGTTATAAAATAAACTAAAAATCAGAATGATAACAACTGAAAGATCAACCGATTACACTAAATGTTAAATTTTAGCAGACATAATTGGACTGAACTTTTAACTCTACACTCGTTTAAGTGTAGACAGGGCTAAGCATTGCCAGCTTTTAATTTCCGCTGTGTTTTTATCAATATTTCAAGGATCTTAGATAATGATAAGGGGACACGTACTTAAGAGATAAAGATAAACTGTGTCTACAAAAAGTTATTTTTATAGGCAGGTGTAAGACCTACAGTTTTATTCATTCCGTAATATAGTCGTCAAAATTAAACAATCCACGATTGAAATAAAATGGATACAAATCCTTCATAATATTGGCATAAATGGGATTAGACGTCAGACGCAGCCGTAAATTTTCTGCTTCTTCAGTTTCAGCCATCAAAGAATGCATATTGCTATCCTTATCGGTAGGAAACACAATTAGAGGCAGGTGATTTGTGAGGGCAAAGAAGGCTAGATACAGAAAAATAAATAAATTGTCAGCATGAAGGCTTAAAATAACTATCATGAGCCTTACCATAGAACGAGTTGTTCTTCTTGTACAGAGAGGCTTGTAGATCACGCAACTTGGGCAAAGGCTTCTTATATTTCAGTAATTTAAGGCATTCTATTAAACGCTCCCAATAAATGCAGATAAAATGATCAAATTCCTTAAGACGTATGTCGTTTGCAGCTGATAACGTAATAAAAAACAATAGATCCAGAGCTGGACTACCCCATTTGCAGATTTGAAAGTCTACCAGGATCAGTTGATCTATATTTCCGTCAGGCAAATAATTGCACATCAAATTGCTAGACCAGAAATCTCCATGGGTTAAGGTATTGAAATCCTGGGGATCAGTTTCCAGAGTACTAATACACATGGCCCAATACTGTTCTGTAGTAGGCTAATAAACGAAAAATAGAGTTATTTTAATTATTTATAGTTATTTACTTTACTACTTACAAAATTCTTGATATACTTTTCGGCATCGTTCATGCCCCATGTGGCCATTGCCTTTTTAAAGGACACCTCCCTCATCTGAAAGCCTTCTTTAATGAACTTATCGGTGTTGAGTGAAATAAATCCTTCATTAAATTCGCTGGGAAAGGGACCATTTTGCTCCTCATAAACTGAGCTGGCTGCGTGAAATTCGGCTAGCTTACGTAAAGCACATGTCATATGCACCATGTCCAGGCCGTTAATGCGGTCCACATTTCGGAATTTTTTAACACCCAGATCCTCGAAAATGAAGTGAATGCAGCCCTCGCGCTCCTCAGTGTGCAGACACTTGGCCGCAATTTGTATATCCTCACCGGCTGCCTTATAGAGTGCCTCGAAAGCGTGCAGATATGTTTCGTACATCTTCAGTTCCTTCGGGAACAGGCCAAAATTCTCTATTTCAGCCCCACCCCGTTCGCTAGGCAGCATCGTCTTAAAGATGTAGGTCTTTGTTTTTGTGCTGCCATCTAAGAAAGCGAACAGTTTATTATTATATATAATTTCAGAAAATGTTGAAAATGTGTTTGTACCTTTCATTTCCAAATCGATGTAAATGCGCAGCATAATGGAGGTAAAGTTCTCACCGGGCGGTATGGCCGCGACAGGTGTAAATTTGAGCACCTTGACATGGTTCGGTTCGTCCCTATCGAGCACGGCTTTGAAATACTTTTCAGTGATCCAATCGGGTATGACAAGATGTTCATTTGGGTTAACAATTTCATTCGATTTCGACATTCTTGAAAGATTTTTCGCTCGACTGATCCACAGAGAGTCTAGTTGGGCACTGGGCCAATGCTTTGTCAAAGCTCTCGACAAAAAACTTTTTGTACAGCCGATCAACTCACTTTTTATCAGTATAATAATACACACGTTTATACATACATATTTTTATTTATATATATAAGTTGTGATAGTGTGCTTAATAGGTGTTTGCTTTTTGTGTGTTGCTAATTTGCATGGCATTCGTGTGGTAACATGTAAATAGACGCACTTACTATTTGTATTTCCAGTTGTTAATAATAGATTATATATGTTTTTTAAAGATCTATCTACATTCTTCATTGAAGGTTCATTGATGAAATTCTCAAGCATTTGAAAGTACGTATATCGTGAAACAATCCCAAATGTTATAAACCATACTCTTGTTAACACACAATATCTTGAATCGGTTTATGTAGAGTACACATAGAAACTGTTTTTTGAGATAACCTATCTGTATTTGTACGTGACTAAAAGATAATTGAATACATATGTACATATACACGTAATATAATAGGCAGCAGGCTTTAATCAACTTGATAGGCGTATCAATAAAAAATCAAACGATTTGTTTATTTTGCAACTCATAGTAAAGGAGTAAAAATCACAGTGAATCTGATTTGTCTGGGAGAGTTGTGAGCACTGCATGATTCTGCATTTAAAGGTGGTTTTCTTACCTAGACACACTATTGACGGCATTAGTCATATTTTCAGATTTTGGAAGTCGCGATTTTTAGCGAGTCATGACTTCTTGGAAAATCATAAATATCCTTGCTTTATAACCTAAAGCCTTAGTTAAATCAATAAATGGCTAACAATCTTACCTTATCTTATTCCGTTTAAAAACAGCAGATTTCTCTTTATGAGTTTCTCCAAATTTGGTTTTATTCTACCTTTAAAATGCCGATGAAACTCTCGCGCCAAGCTTTGGATTGAAACTTAAAAGCAAATTGTGCTGTATTTATGGTGTGAGAATAGCCAAAGCTCTGTATGAACTCTTCTTCTTGTCAAAAACTCAGTTCGCAAACCAGTTTACGACAAAAAATTTGAGAAATTGTGCCCGAGAAGCCAAAAGAAGATAATTAAAGAGTACTTAAAATGAACATAAAACTACTTCTAAGTTTGAGCTTGCGAGCTTTTTTTCAAGATGTAAGTTATTCAAAGAGTTGCTAAAGATTCTAACTTATTTTGGCATTTTAAAAACTAAAATTTGCAGTTTGTACTGTTCGAAAAATATTACATTTTTATTATTATTAAGGAACAAACACATTTTTCGTAAAATCTGAACTTCTTCGGTGCAAAGATCTTTTTTGGTGAAGTTTTAAGTTTTGTCCGATTCGCTTTTAACTTATTTGCAAAGTTCTACATAGGAATATAATGTATATGTTTTTCAGTGCTTTTGGGAAATTCCACCCGAAACAGTGGTAAATTGGCGGAAAACTTTTATATGAAAGTTGCTTATATGCCGTCCGATCAGTTTCAGTAGCATTTCCAAAGATTTTTGAGAACATTTATATTATAACATACGTGCGACGGGCAAGACCGGACCACTAAATTTGTTTACTTAACAATGAACATTTTGTAAGAAACTAATAGATTAATAGAATTCAAGCCCACCTTTAGGGATTTCAAACCAGTCTTACAAACTAAATTTAAGAGTAAGACGTTGGTTCAAACATCGAATCTTAAGTAGAACCACTGATCTCATATATTTATACTTTGAACTCATTGAATGTGTAAAACGGGTATATTGGATTTGAGCAAATGTATGTAACAGACAGGCGGAAGCATTAAAGCATTAAAGCACGTCTTTATTGAATGCTGTAAGAATGTACTGTGTGTATGTGCTGATTCTTTAATTTGTATTCCACTAAAAGTTGATTGTTGGCACGGCTGTCGAGTAGAAGTGGCGGCAACTAGTGCGCTTGGTTATAGTTTGAGTCCAATTGAGGGGACTCTTTTAAATTTATTTTCATAACTGCATTGGTGTTGGTGAAGGGGGTTCAGGGTATCCCCTAGTCGGGAACTCCCGAGTATAGTCTCTTACTTGTTATTACCAGAAAATATAGCTATTGAAATCAATTATAAAAAGATTTTCAAATTCAACATGCAAACATTATTCTCTTATTATAGTTGATTAGCTAATCATGCGTCAAAATAATTTTAAATAAGCTTACATTTTTGTTTGAACGCACATGAAAAAATAAATACTCAATGGAATGTACAACGAGTTTTATGAATACTAATTCATGAATGATTTTTAAGGTTTGTTTTACTTTTGCCCAAAAGTTGGAAGCACAATTCTGAATTAATCATATGTCTATTTACTTGCATACATTTTTAACAGTTTAAAAGTTTTGCTTATAAATTATTTATATGCTTGTGAAATACAAAGTATATGGATTTAAAAATTCAGTTTGACGTCATAAATCGCAAGTGATTTCTTGTCATACTCTTTAATAGATCCATACATCGAACAATATAAGCATGACCAAGCGTACAGATTTTTAAATTTTCTAATCATTTTGATTGCAATAAAAAAAGTATATATCAAAGATCACTATAACCTTATTGTATGGATGAGGGGTTTGAGCCCGAAGCTTTCCTTATTTAACTTACCTAAAAAACTTGATACTTGAGAACTATGAAAGCACAATTGGGTTGCTTTAATGTTTTCAATGTAAGCCAAGCTGTTCATAGGCTTCCATAAACTTAAGTATGCTAGCACGTAAGGGTATACACGCTTCGGCCGGCCGCATATAGATTTGTAATCTTTGGCACCTCAATTAAATACCAATTAGTTTATGCGCGTTCTGCCAGTCATGGTTATTATCAATTTCAGGGGTGTGTTTGGCTTTGAAATAAGCCAATGCATAGATAATGTTCATACTAACGACATAGGAACACACGCGCTTTTCAGTACAAAGTACAGGAAATTGTTTTATTTCAGTTATATGATGTAATATTAGTATCACTTCCATATGTACAATACACACAATGATTAAACATATATAAGGCTAATATTCTTATAGCAGACCCTTGTTTTCAAAGAACGGATACAATTGCAGCATGGCCTTCGCGTAGTAGGGATTGATAAAGGTCTTGTAGCGAAAGGCATCGCCCTCGGGTCCGGGCGTCATCATCATATCTATGCTGGAGTCCTTATCAGAGGGCAGGAGTACGGCAACTAAAACTCCATTTGCCGTCAACGGGCCTGGCAATAAGCAAATATTTATTTAGCTAAGAGATTAATTAATGAAATGCAGCTAACTTACCCCAATTTCCGTATTTTATCATCGTTACGTGTAACTCCCTCAGTGTTGGAATGTGTTTCGAGTATTTCAGCAATTTGAGGCATTCCACCAAACGCTCGTGATATATTTTGATGAAATGATCGAACTCCTTGATCTTAATGTCAAGCGCAGCCGAAGTTGTAATAAAATACCAAAGATCTTGTGCTGGGGAGCCCCATTTTCCAACTTGCAAATCCACAAACAGTGTACGCTCCACCGATCCCTCATCTGCGAACATTATATTGTTGCACCAAAGATCGCCATGATTTAGACAATTGAACTCGGTCTCGTCCACTCTGTTCAAGGCAATTGCGTTATCAAAAAACTGTTTTACAGATGGAGCCATTGCAATATATTTCTCCGCATCCGGCATTTGCCACTCTCTCATGGCTTTGAAATACTGCTCCATACGCATTTGTCCAAGGCCCTCAAAAATTGGCCGATTATTCTCCATATAAAACGTTTCATAGTACATATCGGCGTAGGGTCCGTTTTGTTCAAAATTCACCGCAGAGGCGGCATGCAGCTCGGCCAGTTTACGTAGCACCCGACGCATGTGGGGCATGTCCAATCCCTTGAGGCGATCGATATTGTGAAATTTTTGACGCTTTAGATCTTCCAGCACGAGGGTTATGCGTTCCGGAGTGTTTTCAACGTGCACGCATTTGGGAGCCAGTTCAATGTTCAATCCCGCCTCCTTGTAGAGTTTGATATAGTTAGGAATGTGCACCTCGTACATTTGTTTTTCTTTAGGAAACAAATTCATGCCCGCTACAATATCGCCGCCCTTATTCGCATCCAGCATTGTCTTCAATATGTATGAGATCTGCTGCTCACTGCCATCTATGGAATAGTCGAAATTTAATTGGCTTACATAGACACAACAGGGAGAAAGTTATGAGACCAACCTTTGAGCTCTATGTCGATGACGACACGCACCATAATCGATGTGTAGTTTTCACCGGGTTGTGTTGCCGCAATGGGTGTAAAGTTTTTAATGGTTACAAAGTCGTTTACATCTTTCTCGAGGATGGGACGAAAGTATTCCTCATTTATCCATTTGGGAATGACCAGAAACTCGTTGGGATTCTTGGGCTTGCTGGTGTTATTGAGCGACATTTTCTGCAAGAGTGAAAACATATAACTTTTTAACTGTTCACTTATTTAAGATCATATCAGATCGCTTAAAAATGTTTCTCTTTTATCAATTGACTGGCGATCACAATGTATTTATTGTAGATCATTTGATACCATTAAAAAATTCTAAAAAGCACCACATTATTTATTTATCTTGAATAGAAAAGGTTTATCTTTCCTCATTCATAATTTGTTTACTCTTCATATTCTAAATCATATTTTATCTTGATATAATATACATTTTTCATACAAAAATATCTTGAATAGAATTACACAAGTCTTTCAGACAGGAAGTACAAATTAGTTTTATTTCTTTTTGTTCATGCACAAATCGATCTGTTGTTTTAATTGAATTTTACTAACGGCAATAGGCTATATAGATTTGGATTTAATTAAAATTCCAAGCGTCGAGCTCGAGAAACAAGTGTCCGACGTTTTCAAACGCGAAATAAATACTGAGCGCAAGTTGCCGTATATCAGTTTATACAGTACTACGGCGAACCGGGGTCTGGGATTGTGGCTGCCTATAAAGCAAACCGGTTGTGTGTGTAAAAGTCGGTGTTTTATATTTGGAAGTATGCCTAGCGAAATACATAGAACGTCATTAACTATGCTTAACTGATTGTAGTAGCTTTGTAGATAGAACCATTGTTTTCGTTCTACATTCGTCAGAGTAGAGACTCATATTGGTTGGGTTGTGCAGGGTGATCGTAAGCTCGACAAAAAGTATTCGCCCCAGTTTATCAATTGGGCGCGTGCGAAGCCGATTGTGGTTTCTGCTCGTCTTGCTAATAAACATTAATTGATTTGAACATAAACAAACGAGTATGTATAAGTAACTTTGAAAGTGTTGAGGCAGTGCAATTACCGTGTAGATTCAAGGATGACATATAAGGGGTGTGCCAAACAGACGTCTCTAAAAAGAATTTACATTTTTGTTTCAGAATACAAGTTACACAATTGGTTTTGCATGATATCCTAGGAGAAACAAGACCTAAGCACAGGGTATTTTCTTGTCTAGTACTCTGAAGTATTTGTAACAGATCTCATGTGATATTGTATAGAAAGCGTAAAATTAAAACGAATGATGACTAAACATTTTTAATTTATTTAAGTATTGGATACAACGGATATATGGGTATATATTTCTATATTTAGTGTTTGGTATCAGCTAGATTGCTATTATTTGTTATAATTTCATTGATAGGGAACAGCATTGTACAATTAAAAAAAACTGATGACAAAGGTCAAAAATGATTATCATTTATCCGTTACAGCCAGAAAATGCAATGCCGAGTCCATAAGCTTGTTTTTTAAAGTGATATTATATTATTATTACAAGCTCATGTATATTTGAGAAATTATCTTGTAAATAAAAACGATTTCATAAATTTCGCATTTGTTAACTTTGGTTCTACAAATATTTTTACAGTGAATCTTTGTGTTAGTTAGTCCTCTATTGAAGGAATTTTTAAAGGATTTTAAACAGTCTCGCCTTCTTGTCCAGCCTCTCATATTTAAAGTGGTACCTTTATAAGACGGCAGCAGTTCGCCTATCAGGTTATCATTAACATTGACATACAATAACATACAATAAAGTTTTGTATATACATAAATTATAATGAAATAGTCTCTTAAGAAGTTTATCAAAATAATCCCTTATCATATTTGATTTTTTTGATGGAACATTTGAAGAGAGAGTAGTTAATCTTATTGCGGGAAACCGTTATTAGGCACCAAAAAAATTTCGAATTTCACTTTCATTTATTTGAAATGGAAGTTTTTTGGTTATCGATAATGAATCTAGTCGTTTTGTCAAAAATACCTCCTTACATTTGCGCAATTATAGGGTAGTACGTTGTCTTATATCGGCCCATCTTATAACTATTTCTAATCACAATTTATATTGTGTAACATAATATATATCTATGTTATGGGTGGGACAAATATATACTGAAAAATTCGAATTAATTGAAAAGTGGGCTTGCAGAGGGAACGGACTGATATTTGTATATGTATGTAGTACAATTGGTACATTTTATATGATGCCAGTGATCACATAAATATATTTCCACAAATATATTTAATAAAGTAGCACTTAAATTAATTGACCATTTCATATCACTTTTTTTTGCAGGGCGAACGCCCTACTTTATGGGGTGCAGAGGGTATTATCATTTTTTCACGAAATGTGTAACGCATAGAAGGCGACATCTTCGACAACATAAAGTATAAATATTGATATATATATCTTGATCAGCACCAATAGCCGAGTCGATCTAGCCATGTCTGTCCGTCCGTCCGTCCGTCCGGATGTATGAACGCAAGGATCTCAGAACCTATAAAAGCTAGAGACTTGAAATTTTAGATGTAGGTGCTCCTAGTGCCTGCGCAGATCGAGTTTGTTTCCGATAATCGATAGCTTACACCGTTTCAAAGCAATCGATAAAAATCGATATCGATATCCTGTTTTTTGGGTAATTTTGGTAAATAATAAGAGCTAGAGTCATCAAACTTGACATATAGCTTCTAAAATAGAATATATATATTCATTTGATGTTGGAAGAAGAGGGTTCAGGGTTCAGGGTTCAGGGTTTATCTTGGATTATTGTTTTTTTTTTTTTTTTATTAAGTTTTATATTGTTGCATGCGGCCGGCTGGCACTCAACTGGGTATTTTCTAAAACTCCTCCCAACAAGAAAAACCGCTCTCCATTTCAAAAATCAAAGAGTTGCGCACCCCTTGAATCCATCGATATATTTCCTCATCTATCGATGACCATCTTTCATTGGCAATTTGTTGTGGCGTTTTTTAATACATTTCTGCCGGTAACAGATTCTCACCACAAGATTTACATGAGCGAAAGCCGATGATTCCATCTTTTAATTCCGTATTCGACAAACTTGCAATTCAAGATAGTACGGATAGACACAGCTTTTCCACGGGTAGAAAGTGGATGAAAAACTTAGATCCAAAATTGTAAGAGCAAAACTTACCACAGCCAAGGCTATGATTACGACACGCTGAGGTATTTTTTAATAGTTCATAAATAACATAATAGAGCTCTGACAAATATTCTCTTCCACTATAATTTTTTTTATTTTATTTCGTATAATAATAATACATTTTTAATATGGCGTGACCAATTTGAAGAATTATTTGTGTTTATATAATTCATTACCATTTGGTAATTACTTCCAGTCGAGCAGACCGCGATTATCCAACCATGGCAGAACTTCGGACATTACCTGAACATATTTCTGATTGGTGTACATAGCGGCCTTCACCTTGGACTCGTCATTCCCCAAATTGGCATTGTCGGTCTTGTCCAGCATGACAACTGGTAGCACCTTGGACACGACCATATAAGCTATACGAAAAAGGGTATTATCGAAACGTTCTCCCAATGTTGAGGTTTTAGAATACTAACCCGCCAATCCATTGCGCAAGAGAGCAGCATGCAAATTCTTCAACTTGGGCAAAGGGCGATGATATTGCAGTAGCTTAAGATTCTCCACCAAATGATCGAAATAGAAGCGAACCATATAATCAAATTTGACGGTTTTAATATCTGGCGCTGCTGAGGAAAGTATCAGATAAAATAGATCATTCGCCGGGGAGCCATATTTGCCAACTTGAAAGTCAACAAAAAGCGTTTCCTTGATTTTGCCAAAGGCATCATATAGAAACATTATATTTAGGTTCCAACAATCGCCATGATTGAGCACATTGAACTCCCGCATGGAAACCTGCTGATCCTGGAGCAGACGATCAACCAAATACTCATCACTTTTGGCCTATAAGGAGTGCCTAAGATTAAACTTGGAATGCTACAAGTTTGTGTTCCGACTTACCAATTTCTCATAGATCTTTTGACAGTTCTTCCACTTCTTGAGCTGCGCTAGAAAGGCTCCCGAGGCATTAAACTCCTGCAGCAGCTGACGATTGGCTTCGCTGAACACGCCTACCGTAAACTCTTCCCCAAACATGCCATTTTGCTCTACATAGCAGGCGGAAGCTGCATGGAAAGCTGCCAACTTCTCTAGCACCTGCTGCATATGATCTAGATTCAGACCCGCCAAGCGATTGGCGTTTTTGAAACTCTTCACTTTCAAATCCTCGAGCAGCACATAATCAACACCCAAATCCTGATCAATTTTATATGCCTTAGGTGCAAATTTGATGGTTTTGCCAACATCGGCATAGAGCTGTTCGAATTTGGGTAGAATGGTATGATACATTTTTTCCTCCTTCTGGAAGAGGCGCAACTTGCTGAGTATGGCAGCCATTATTTCATTATTATGCTGCGCCTTCAGCACAAAGGACACACTCTTGGTGCTGTGATCTGCGGTGGGCACAATAAATGAATAAAGGATTTACAGGTTGCTTCCACTTACCAAGCAGCTCGACTTCGACCAGCAGACGCACCATCAAAGCGGAGTAGTTGTCACCAGAACTCGTTGGCTGTGGTGTTACAGATAGTATCTTTTCAAAGTCGCCAATCTGGGCATGTACTGCATTCTCCAGCGAGATTCTGGGCAGCCAGGGGGGCAAATTGGGATCCGCTGCCTCAGCGTGTCCATTTGTTTGTGTGGACTCCGACATTTTGCTACTAGAATAGATTAAGGCATTGACATCGATCCCAAATTTAACGACATTAATTTAATCATGTGCAATAAATGTCTTGTTGAATTTATGCTTATACGTAGAAGCGATAAGCGCTTTAAATAAGTATTAGAAGGTTCCAACTATCCAGACAAATCAAGAGTTGAAAATACGCTCAAGTACTATCAGCTGATTGTGGTGCTTAGAGTGTCAGAATCAGCCTATAAGTTAATTGATAATTAGTTAAAAAAAAAAACCTATTCTGTCCTATAAATACGCTTACTCACAAGTGAAAATTGTAGTCCATAATTAAAAATATGATGGCGTGCACATATGCAATTTAAATATTATACATTGCCCCACCCAGTTATTACTGTATCCAACCTTTATGACATTTTATAGCATTAAGAAACTACGTCTTCTATTATATAAAACTTTTAAGAGTTCTCTGTAAAAGCTGTGATGTTTTTTTTTATACAGAAATTCGATTAGGAAAAAAAAATAAAATAAATTGATTCCCTTTAAACGGCAAGTGCAATAAGCCCAATTATCAATAAATCCTACTGTTTCATTCTGAGATTTCAACACTCAATTGCAGTTATTGAAAGAAAATCTGAAATCTTCGATTTGAACCAAGCCATAATAATACAAATAATTAGTTTATCAATATCATACTTAATTTTTACCACGATACAAGTAATTTACAAAGATGGTCTACACTTTTGTACATAAATGCAGGTTTTTTAAGACCGGAAAAACGATGACATAACCAACAAATTCCGCAATAGAGTTTTTGGGTTCTCTCTTATGAATAACAAGACATTTGAATAGTTGGGCTTTTTGATGTTAAACTTTAATTGTTGCCAATCGAAAGTGGGATATTGCTGTGCTGTTATTTGTTATTGATTGGTTTTCACAAACATGCTGCTCTCCAAATCTGTATGTATGTCTACATTGATTAGGTCATTATCAGGCCAAATGCCATATAATTATATCGGAGGCAACTCATAAATCAGGTCACATGTCAGCTTTTACAATATTGAAAGCAGAATGATTGTATAGTTGGTTAATGAAAACATGCTAAAATAGTAGGTTTCACTTGTTAGAAAAGTATAACTTTTCACTGTTTTATGTTTTTAGCACTTGAGATCACACGCCATTCAAGTTTCATTTCATTTACTAACAATTATATACTGATTTTTCCTGTAAAAATTTTGCGCTTGTTCGTTTCATTTAATAACACCTATATCTGGATTTGTATTGTAAAATTGTTACGTTAGGACTTCATGACTGCAACTGGCACATAATAGAACTGTTTCAAGAGTTTTGAAAACATTATCTCAGCAGACCGAAAAGTTGATTGGGACACAAACCTCTTTCCTTAATTGACAAAATGAGAGACTCGAGTGATAAATTACTAACACAATTGAGTGCAGTTCGGTCAACGGTTGATTTCAAATGAGGACCGGGCGTTACGTGCGACTTTCTGCTCGGCCCGATTTGGCATTAGCCAAAGAAATGCCTTATCGCTTGTGTTCAATTAAAGTTGATTTTGTAAATGTTATTCGCCAAAACCTGGCATATACGCGTCTCTCACACTGTAAAACTTGGCCAGTATGATTTTTAAATAAACAGTTGATATGGGCGCCGTCAATTTTTCTATTGATAAGGCAGGTAAGGCGGGTCTCTGCACCTCCACTACTATCGTTCTTTCGCTTTGTGCTCTAATTATTGGGTGATTCTTTATTAATTGCTTCTGCTCGTGTGTCATTCACTGTGATTCAGTTGGACATGTGATAGACAACAATCTACGTTCTTATATATATATTGTTTGTTTCGATTCGCCGGCCTTTTCATTTTCTTAAACATATTTGGTAATACCATAAATGGCGAGTGGTGAAAGCTACCTGGCTTTTATAGGTTATTGTTTTTTTTGAAGAACATCTAGATTTTGTCGATATTCTTGTGGTTTTCTTCTAACACCTAATTCAATTTATAGTTTCTTAGATCATTCTGATACTCTCCGCATTTACGGCTGGCATATTATTAACAGCATATACTGAATTTCAAAGCCAAACCATGTACATTCCGGTACTTTTTGTCTTTATTAATCGATCATTATGAAACTGTTGAAATATATATATTTGCATTTTAAAATATAATAAAAACAGACCTGTATCCTGGGGAGACCCACCACATATAAGGACTCCTTGTATTACATTTGTATTTAAATTATACTAACTGGTATCTCCTGGCAAATTTGAGATATTGCATACAAGAAAAGTGGATTATGCGAAGCGTGTCAAACACATCAAATAATTGCCCCAAAGATGTTTAAAAGTAAGTTGGAGGCGGATCGGGTGGTAAGCAAAACATTTCCTCAACTGCGGGAAGAGTTTTCAAAATCACGAAATCACGTATTTACTAAGAAAATAAGTTTAAAGGCGATTGTCGGATTATAAAACTTCACCCCAAAAATCATTGACCTGCGTTTTCCTCGGATTAGGCTCGGATTTGGCAAAAAGTGTTAATTTCATTTTAGATGAATATTTTTATAGATCATTGCAGATGACTTTAATAAAACCCCCGACCCGCATTTATCATCCAAGCAGTGAATTTACGCAAAGTGTGAAACGCGAATTAAATGAATTTTACAAAGAACCAAACTTAAATTTGCGCCTAAAAAATGTGTGAAGGGAGGATGCTTGCATTTTGCGGAAAATGTGAAAAATGTCTTAACAAATTTACACCAAATCTTTAACCCCTTACTTCCACCAAGAAGGAATGGGTTCTCCTGCTATCAAATGAATTTATGGGATGGAATTTATCGGCTGGTTAAGGAAGAAGTTTCTTAAACCATTTTTCGCAAATTTTTCCATACATTCGGATGGAATTTTTCTCCAAGCTCCGATTCAGCCCCGATTCAGCTCCTTAGTTCTTACGGCTTGGGCTATACGTTTATCAACAATCAGTCAATGAATCAGAAAACTCCGTTTTATATATATTGATAGCTGGAAGTCTAGCTTTCTTTGCCCTAAGTACTTTTTACGTCACGCGAAAATCATTTTGAAACCGATCGGATGGTAAGTAAAGAAATTTCATTCAACCTTACTTCACAAATTAACCACAGTTGTGCGTGGAATTTCTCAAATCGCTTAAGCACGTGCTTATAAAGTTCTTATGGAGAACATTGAATCGCATCTCAAGTGTTTTTTCGTATAGATTATAGATTAGGAAATAGCGTCACCTACCAAATCCTTGACCTCCATTTCCACCAAGGAGGAATGCATTTTTCGAATAGTGAATACCTCAAATTAATTTGAACAAAGATATTTGAAAATGAGTTTAAGGCCCCACACATGGGGTGTGGAATTTCCCGATAGTCCGTCTTATCGTGCACGTTCACATATAAGGAAACTACAGTAAAAATGTTCTAGCTTCCTAGCTTTTACGGCTTGGGCTGTGCGCTGATCACTAATAACTCAATCAGTGAGTCAGTTAGTGAGCCAGGGCAAAAAATTTTATAAATAGTTTTAAAAGATATGTTAATAAAGTTTTGGAAAATTTTGACAAAGAGTTTGTCACTTCTTGGCTAAGAAGCAATTCGGAAATCTACAAGTGTCATCACTTTAAAATTTTAAAGCACAGTGATTTAACAGCCAGGGGAATACAGCGCTGACGTGCTTTATATATCGGGCATTGGAATACATTTGCATTTTCAGGCCTTCCCCATCTGCTGTTTCCGTTAAAAAATCCGCCGAGCTGTAGCGAGGCAATTGAAAATTCACAAATAGGTTGCTTCCTGTGCTGGCGACCCTGCCTTGTTCTGGAAAAGTATATTATTAGTCCACAAATTCCCGTGAATCAATGCATTGAAGTCCTCCGAATCAGGCTTGTTTATGCTGTACACAAGTACTACTACAAGTACTACTTACTATCGCCTCACTCTAGTTCTCGTTGTCTTCTTTCTGTCAGCTCACGAGCTCTGTCCAGATCCACCAAACGATCCACGTTCCTGATCTACATCAACATCTTCATTAAACAAATTTTAATTTGAAGCGAGTTTTATATATTTTTTGTAATGTGGCTTATACTTACCTTCAAGTTTCGCCTCAAAATGCAAACGCAGCATTATTATGGAGTATTTTTCGCCTGGCCTAAGTCCAGCTACCAGCTCGAACTTGAATGCTCATGTCCTCTGTCATGATGGTTAGACCTTCACAAGACTATTTTGATGTTACAAATAATAATATAAGAATAATGTCACAAAAAGTGCGTTTATGATCTAGCAGTAAAAAAGTGTATATACATATTCTTAAAGATCAGTTAACTATAATCCGCATAGTAAATACGCTGCCACCGAGATCTCGAGTAGGCGAGTCGATAAAGATTCATCCGGCTATAAATAGTCAAGATTCTTCACAATCAGAAATCACGTACCCAAAAAGCAGTTAGACACGTATGCTACAGGGTATTTTCCGGTCATACATTCCAGACTTAGCAGTTTATTTTTTGCTTATACCTATTACAATGTTTAAATGTATGCGATGTGTATATGTATTTCTAAATTTATGATGTTTTTGCTTCATTTCGTTTTGTTTTGCTTTAATTTGTTCAATATGTTGGTATTTGTTAATGTAAATAGAAATATGATATCAGATATATAGTTTTTTGTGAATGTTTTATAACATTGAATGTGCTTTCTAATCCGATTCACACATAAAATGTTTTTGATAATATTCTCAGAATAATCTAATACCGATAAGGAAATTATTGATCAAATTGTCGATAGCAGAAATGTTTACGATTTTAGTATAAAACGCTTCTAAATATAAATTTATATTTCGAGAGCGCCACGATTGTGAAGCCAAGGCAACACCACTTGGATATGTTTCCTATAGCGTGCGTTGGAATAGAGCAGAGTTTTCAACTCGTTGCCCTCAGCGGAATCACTCAGAAAGTTTTCAATATTGGCGGCTTCTGAGGGATCCAGTAGAATGCCGCTCATAACGCTCGTTGCGGTAATAAAGCCTGCACATGGAAGATATAGTATAATAAACTAAATGTTAATTTTTAGCTATACTAACCCCAAATTCCATGCTTAAAAAGCGATATGTGTATATCACGAAGCGTAGGCACCACTTTCGGATATTTCAGTAGTCTTAGATTTTCTGCAAGATTTTCATGATAGAACTTGATATAGTAATCGAACTTGGTGAGCTTATCCTCGAATTTGGTTGAGGACAGCAGAAAGTAGAACAAATCCTGTGCCACCGAACCGAATTTCGGTAGTTGAAAGTCCACCAGATAGGTTTCCTTTATTTTTCCAAACGAGTCGTGTGAAAACATCATATTGTTGCTCCAACAGTCACCATGGTTGAGTGCATTAAATTCGTTGCTATCGATGTTGGATTTTTTAAAGAGTTCATCATTTAGCTTGGGCTGCAGAGCTCGCTAAGGAAATAAACATATTATTGATAAAATATGGTACCTTACACTCGATTTGCCTGTACAAAATTTACCAGTTTCTCTATATACTCCTCATTGCCCTCGTAGGTTGCACAGCACTTGAGAAAATTCTGGGCCAATTGTTTGTTCATCTCGGACATCATTACACGGTTTTCTTCCTTGTAGAAGCCAACCATAAGCTGATCCGGATAGACACCCTTGTTGGCCACACGCACTGCGGACGCGGCATGCCACATGGACAACTTACGCAGAGCAGCTTCGCTGTGCACCTGGTCCAAGCCCTCCAGCCGATTGGAGTTCTTGAAACCCCTTGGCGCCAGATCCTCAAGAAGTAAATACTCTGTTTCGGCACCCTTAACAGTATAGGCCTGAGCACCGAATTTGATGTCCACACCAGCGTTACGATACAATTGTTCCATCTCGGGCACATGAATATTATACATATTGCGTTCTATATCAAAGATACTTTTGGTATGCTCCATCATTGCCTGAAACATTTCCAGTTGATGCGGCACCTTAAGCATATAGGATACGGACTTGTCAGTGCCATCTGTATAGTATCAGATAATAACTATTTTAAGTCTAATTGAGCATATATAAATTCAATTACCCTCCAGCTCGACATCTATATTTAGACGCAACATGACCGTCGAGTAGTTTTCGCCAGCCGCCGATCCGCTGTTGGCCTTGAAACTCTTGATTTTAGAGAACCCCTTGACCGATTCTTTGAGCACATCCACAAATTTTTCGGCCTGCACCCAATCGGGCACGTTCTTGGGGGATGGATCTGGTTTGGCTTCGGCGGACATTTTTTGTTTTTATTAATTTATCAAAATCAAAATTTATGCGTAGTCGTTAAGCTTGACGTTGTTGTGTTTCCGACGCTGTCCAATTGACTTCTAATGGGTCGACGGCTTTTGCAGCTCTATATATTTCGCTTCATCTCTTTTGTTTGCAAATGCACTATAGGGCGTATTTATAGTCATAGCACTCTCTTCTTTTGTCAATCTGCTTCTCTTCTTTTTGACTATCAGAGCCAGGCATTTTAATCAAACGCTGCCAAATCTAACAAAAAAGCTTTGAGCTTAGAGCGAAGTAAAAATTTGATTGTATGCCCCTATCTTTCGTAGACTGGCAAAGCGTTATTATCATGTTAAAGAGCTTACTTAATAGTTTTATTCTAACTTTAGCAGAGTTCAAGTACACAAATTGCTGACATTGTTAGGCTTGAAAAAACGAAATTTATCAATTAATTAACTCTATAGAAGGTCCAATTTAAAAGATTGAACATATCCCTTAAATGAGAGGTTAAAGATATGTTTCGCATCTGACTAACGTTTTAATGCAAAATTTGATAGATATTGAATTTAAAAAAAAAAAAAAAACGAGAAAGAAAGGCGTTCTTCGGCACGCTGAAGATCTAATACCCTTGCAGACCCAACCTTTTCATAGTGCTTTGCCCGCATCTAAGAAGCAGAGGGAAAATAGTAAACAAAGTGTTTTTTCATACTACAACTTAATTTTCGAGCGATCGTTCCTATGGCAGCTATATGATATAGTGGTCCGATCCCGCTGGTTTTGACATAGCACATATGTGCGTGCAACAGAAAGAGGAATTTCTGCAAAGTTTCATTAAGATAGCTTTAAAACTGAGAGACTAGTTCGCATAGAAACAGACAGACGGACAGACGGACATGACTCTATCGACTCGGCTGTTGATGCTGAACAAGAATATATATACTTTATGGGGTCGGAGATGTCTCCTTCTATGCGTTGCACATTTCACGACAAATTTATAATACCCTCTGCTTTTTGTATCCCAACACAAAACATCATTTTATTAATACTTGAGTAAATTTCTTATCAACGTAGAAAACATGTACAGGTCACGTTGTCACGCCAAATATAATTTTTTAAGTTGTGACTCATGGGAACTAGTAGCGCGAAAATTCACCTATCGATCACTTGATATGTGCTTTATATATTACATATTCATAGATACAAATGCATATCAGAATCCTTCAAGGGCTCCACGATTCAACAACCAAGGCAATATTGCCTGGATATGCTTACGATATCGTGGATTGGTATAGAGCAAGGTCTTAAAGTCGGTGGCTTCTGTAGAGTCGCTGAGGAAGTTCTCAAAGCTGGCCGTTTCTGTGGGATCGACCAGAACGGCGCTCATAACACCTGTGGCGGTCAGGTAACCTAGAAAATAATAGTAAAATTGATCAGATAAAGTCATAAAATATAATTATACGTATAATAAACGTACCCCAGAAGCCATACTTGTAGAGCGTCATGTGCAATTCGCGTAGTGTGGGCAGAGTTTTTGGATACTTCAGTGTCTTTAGGTTTTCAACAAGACTATCATGATAGAACTTGATGTAGTGATCGAATTTCGTCAGCTTATCCTCGAGCTTAGTTGAGGACAGGAGGAAGTAGTATAAATCCTGTGCTACTACGCCCCACTTCGGAATTTGGAAATCGACCAGACATATGTCCTTGATTTTGCCAAAGGCGTCGTGCGAAAACATCATATTGTTGCTCCAAAAGTCGCCATGATTCAGAACATTAAAGTTATTGTTATCTACCTTGGCCATTTTGAACATGTAATCAGTGATGCTAGGCTCCAACGCTTTCTAAAAGACGATTTAAAAAATCAAGAAATGTCATCACGATTTTGTTGAGTATTCTCCTTTGCTCCACTTACCAGTTTTTCTATATAGTCCTCGTTTCCTTCATACATCTTAATGCTGCTAATAAAGTTCTTTGCTAAGCTTCTATTCATCTCAGCCAACATTGGCCGCAGTTCCTCCTTGAAGAAACCAACTGTCATGTTCTCTGGATAGGCTCCCTTGGTGGCAACACGCATCGCGGAAGCGGCATGCCACATGGATAACCTTTTCAGAGCACACTCTGTATGTTCCTGATCCAAACCCTCTGTGCGATTAGTGTTTTTAAATCCCCTGGGTGCCAGATCCTCAAGCAGTATGTAATCTGATTTAGCGCCCTTCAGCTCATAGGCCTTGGCACCGAATTTCACCTCCACTCCGGCGTCTCGATAAATTTGTTCCAGCTCGGGCACAATCGTCTTGTACATGGTTAACTCAGTCGAAAATATATTGTTGCCCTCCATCATCTTTTTATAGATCTCCATTTGATGCGGCAGCTTAAGCATATAGGAAACTGATTTCTCCTTGCCATCTGTAATTGTTTTCGATATGAGTTAGCAGATATAAGATATCAGCTCACCTACCCTCCAATTCGACTTCTATATTCAAACGCAACATGATCGTCGCATAGTTTTCACCTGCTGCCGATCCGCTGTCGGCCTTAAAGCTCTTGATTTTTGAGAACCCCTTAACCGATTCTCTCAGCACATCCACAAAAAGTTCGGCCTGCACCCAGTCGGGCACATTGCTGGCTGTGGGATCGGGTTTTGATTCTGTCGCCATTTTCAGTTGATAATTGAACTATTAAATTTATGACAGAATCGTTGCGTTGCGCAGTTGTGTTTCCTGTAGTTAACAGCACGTTTCTAATAATTCTCTAGCTTTTGCGCAGCGTTTATTTATACTACTCGCCGCCAGCCGTAAGCCTCAAATGTTGAAAACTTGCAAAGCTTTCTGGCCCTCTCTATATACATATGATTACATTCTGAATTTCGTTAAAGTTGTTCAGAATTTTCAGAGAGCTTTCCCATTGACTGTTTGTGTTCTTGGGGCTCTCTGTGGCTGCTTCGGAGCTTAGATATTAGTGTGCGGTGCATTGACCTCAACGTTAAACATTTTCCATTTTACCATTTTTAGTATTGGTTATATTGTGAAATATGTATAGCACTGATAATGAGTATATATGTATGAGTACTTGTTATTATTGTTTACTACTATGAATTGTGCAATTCCACTTCACCATTATATAACAACTTATTGTCCTGATTGTCTGACTGATTGATGACCAACGCACCGATCAAATCGTATGTGATTAAATTTATTGTAGTTACATTATATGCTTAAGATGCGCGCTAAGGCGAGGCTCTGGGAAAAGTTACGTAAGCCCATTTTATGATAATTTTTTTTAAAAATCTTTGTCTTAATTAATTCGAAAGATGTTCCACATATTTCGAAAAATCTATCCCTTATGGGTTACGGGCTTAAATTCATTTCTAAGGATCGTCATGAAAATTCAAAATATAAAAACATATTCAATTATGAAGCCCAATGTGTTTGGGTATAAGTCTGCTACCTAGACTCTCAGTCTTTCGCGGTAATAATCTAATTTTCGGTTGTATTTGGGATACTGTGTTATAAACGTGAACCACACACAAGATAATACTTGACTAAATCTGTTGTTAAAAATAATTTTCAGTTTCAACAGAGATATTAAACCAATATTTTAAATCAATAATTAGTTATTGTTTTTTATGAACTAACGTGTTTAGTCATGACTCGCACTTATAGATAAGCACGCACTCTTATTAAGTGCCATACTACAAACAGAAATCATTTATTGAAAAAATCCATGCATCTAACAGTATATATGTCTAATAGAAAAACAAATATTGTGAAATAAAATGTTGGAGTAACTTTATTGATAGCACTTATTTTTTATCTAAGCTCAGTTTGAAAAGCACCGCGATTTTGTAGCCAAGGCAGGACAAGCTTTAAATGCTCTTTATATATCTTTCCGGAGTATAAGAGGGTTCTAAATTCCTCAGCCTCTGGCGTATTGGAAAATAAGTTATCAAAGCTTGCGGTTTGGGTGTCCTCCAGTAAACTGCCAGCCATGACACCACACACCGTCCAATACCCTGTAAATAAGAGAACGTTAGGAGGCTGCTAAGGGGTGTTTCAGCTTGCGAAGCACCCACCCCAAATACCATTTTTTATGAGTGACGTGTGTATGTCTATAAGACTGGGTAGTTTTTTGCTGTAGTTCAATAGCTTCAAGTGCTTTATCAACTGGTCGTAATATTGTTTTATAAAATAATCAAATTTGTTTAACTTAAGCTCCAATTTCGGCGATGATAACAGGAAATAAAGTAAGTCGAATGCAACGCTGCCATATTTACACATTTGATAGTCAACGAGATAAGAATCTAATAGTTTTCCCGTTGCTCTATCATAGAGGAACATTATGTTGCTCAGCCAGCAATCAGAGTGGTTCAACACATTGAACTCGTTTGGATCGACAGCGCCGACTTGTAGAATTTTTGCTGTAATGTGACCAGCCATATTTTTGATATCATCGTAGTAGGCCTCATGTCCTTCGATTGTTTTCAGGGACTTCAGAACGTAAGGTATCATGTTATCTGTCAGTTTGCTTATGAAATCTTTGCCATCCTCGTTAAAAACACTCTCGGACATGTGGACGGGATAGGGTCCAATTGTGTCTACCCGAACAGCCGAAGCGGCATGCCATTGCGCGAGTTTTGTGAGCAGGCACAGGGTATGCTCCTCATCCACCCCTGCCTGGCGATGGACCGATTGAAATCCTTTTGGTTTCAGATCCTCTAGTAGTACGTGCTCATATGGTATGTCAAGTTTATAGCACTTAGCACCAAACTCAACCTCTAAGCCAACATTGCTATAAAGCTGCTTAAACTCCTGCACATATATCATGAACATATCCCGTTCCATATCGAATATGCTAAACTTGTTCTTCCCAAGGGTTTCCTGATATGAGTCCGAAACGTGCGGTATTTTCAGCATATACGATATTGATTTGGTTGTGTCATCTACATAGATTATATATGAATATCAGTTTTCCCCAAAAGTCTTATCAAATGTCTTCTACCCCCACCTACCTCTTAGTTCCACTTCGAGCTCAATGCGGAGCATAACCGTGGCATAATTATCACCAGGTTTTGTGCCCGGCATGGCTTTAAATGATTTTATTGCTTTGAAGCCCTGAAAGGTATCTTTAAGCAGCTGCTCAAAAAGTTCGGCCTTTAACCATTCGGGAAGTTTGACCTGCACATCATTTGTTGTGATTTGACTGTTTGATGACATTTTTAAGACTCTTTAAGCAAATGCAAGTCGGTTGTAGTCAGTGCGATTTCCGTGGAAGAACTGTGGCAGTAGAACAATTAACCGGTTTATATACGAACAATTTTAAAGAGCTTAAAGCTCCTGAAGCTTTTTTGTTACTGTCGGTATTTCACCATACATTTTAACGATCTATTGAGATGATAGAAATTATTAAAATCGTTGAATGTTTTTTTAGGCGGTTCCATTCAGAGATCAAAGCTGAAATAGAACTGATTTTGGCGGCTGGTAGGATGTAAGCCGTTTATTTCTAACGTACAGTAATCATTTATACAAACAAAATCGATTGTTAAGATTTAGACGCGTTTTAGTCTTTTCTCCTAGTTTTTTTTTTTTTTCTTTTAGTACGCAAGTTCTGATAGGTTATATAAATTCTTGCGTTATTAACTACTTATTTATACATTTTTTTTTTTTTTTTTTTTTTTGGTTTTTGATTGTATTAAAAATATACATTTATCATCAGTCAGAAGAACTGAATTATTCTAGCTTAACTGATTCAAAATTGTTCCTATACTTTTCCATATAATACACTAGACTATATCGCCAAGGCACCACGATTGAGTAGCCAAGGTATTACGACCAAAATATGCTTGCAAAAGCGCGCATCGAATTGATCAGGTTCTTAGACTCATTGCTTTGTGTGGAGTCGCTGAGGAACATCTCAAGATTGGCATCTGCTGAAGGATCCAAAAGAACGGCTGTCATAATGCCCGTATCTCCCGAAGGCAAGGATTTTTGGCAAGGTTTTCATGATAGAACTTGACATAGTGATCAAATTTTCTCAGCATATCCTTGGATTTGGCTGAGGACAGCAGAAAGGGGTACAAATCTTGAGCTACGGTTCCGTACTTTGGCATTTGGAAATCCATCCTTGGTTGATAGATCCTCCAGCAGTATATAATCCATTTTGGGATCCTGTAGTTCATAGGATTTAGCACCGAATTTCACCTCCGGCATCGCAATAGATTTGCTTCAGCTCGGGAATGTAGATAATGTAGATAGATATTATTGTGCTCCATCATTTTTTGGCAAAGTTCCATTCAATGTGTCACCTTATGCATGTAGGACACCGACATTTCCTTGCCATCTACAAGATGTAAAGACTGTTTGAGTGCAATCCTATGTCCTTCTAAGCATAAATCACCATACCTTCTAGCTCTACTACGATGATCAGACGCTGCCGCCGCTGGTCACCTGCTGCCGAGCCACTCTCCGCTTTGAATCTTTTGATTTTGGATGAATCGACAAATGAATCGGGCTGCACCCAATCCGGCACTTTGGTGGACTTCGTATTTGACAATTGTTGTGAAATATCTCGCTGTGTTTTCTGTACTATCAAAGAACACTTATTTGCTTTCTGACTTTTCCAGCTCTATATGTATGTTCAAACATTGACGTACATAGATCTGTGTATACTTGTTAGCGTGATACGAAATAAGCTTTTTGTGCGTTTTACAAGCAGATTGTAGGTTCTTTAGATTTAGCAGCTTTCGATTCACCTCTGTTGCTCTCTCTCTCTCTCTCTCTCTCTCTCTCTCTCTCTCTCTCTCTCTCTCTCGTTTTTATTTGTTTGCTGCTCTTAGTTTTGCTCTTCAACGTTGTATATGAAACAAAGAAGATTTGCAAGTTCTACAAAAAAGTTTTGATTCAACTAAAACTCTCTCTCTCGTCATTAGCTACGCTCTGCGAATCAACGTAGCAAAACAAACATGTTATATGATTATAATATATGGTATGCGATGGTAAAATACAGTTATCACTCCATAAGACGAATTTGGAAAACATAGTTTCACCACAGTTATCTTTCTCATTTCCTCATTAGGCTTTTTATGATCAACCCAAACAAAATTATAAAAACAAAATAGTTTAATAAATTGTCTTCATGTATAAAAAGCTATATATGTATATTTTTTTGTATTAAAAAACAAATTTTTTGTATACATTGATAAATTAAATTAATTGTGTCCCGCCTTTTGTGTTATAATTATTAATATTAGTATTACTTAAAGTGGTAAAGAATATGTGCTTTGGATAAGACGTCGATTGAGAGTTGGACCCTTTGTGTATTCAGGTAATATAGCCTCTTTCCATAAGCCAGGGTAATATGAGTTTGATTTGCCTTACATAACTGGGATTCAAAAGCAATTTACGCTTGAAGTTCATAGCCGTTTCCGAGTCGCCCATAAAGTTCGCAATGTTAGAGTCCGGACTGGGGGGAAACAGTGTTACGGGCAGCATTCGCTGAGCGCATACAAATGCTATAATTGTTAGAAAAATACCGAAAAATACCGAAAAATCAATGATGAAGTCAGCAGTCAAGGCAATTATGGAATCAAACAAAATATGTGCATTGAATTCAACAACCTACCCCAAAGACTATTCTTGCGAAGATTCGTTTGCAATTCTGTTAATGTGGGCAGTTTCCTGGCATATTTCAACAGCTCCAGATGTGCTACAAGCTCTCGATGATAATACTCTACGAAATCATCGAATTTCTCCAATTTAATGTGAATATTTGGCGTTGTCATCAACAGACAGAACAAGTCGTGGGCGGGTGTTCCATACTTCGGCAATTGAAAGTCCACAAAACAAATGTCCTGAATATTGCCCGAATTCAATTGGAAGAGAAAATTGTTGCACCAGAAATCCCCATGATTGAGCACATTAAATTCGGTTTTATTAATGCGACCAAAATCCATATACAAGTCCGTCATGCGATCTGTGTAGTTGGTCTGAAATACATGAAAGAATTTTAGAAACTCATGCTATTGCTAACATTCACAGAAAAATACTCTGATCAGCTGATCAGGGGGTTAAAATGTTGAAGCTAAAGTAATAATATACGACGTTTCTCTTCTTACTATCAACTGCTGTTGACCCGGCTCCAGATTGTACAGCTGCAGGCATTCCAAAAAGGGCACATTGAATGTTACATTTGCTTGCTCTATCCATTTGTAACTCTCGGGCGAAATGTAGCTCTTTTGATACTTCTCTTCATAGTCTCCCAGCTCGACTACTCTCTGGGCGGATGCAGCATGCCATTGAGCCAACTTTTTGAGCACTGCTTTTATTTCCGTTTGACCCAGACCAAACATGCGCTCCAGATTTATATAGCCCTGCATGCGCAGATCCTCCATCAGTATGTAGTCGCAGTTTGGAGAGTTTTCGGTGAACTTCAGATGCGCTGGCTTAAACCTTATCGCCAGTTTTGTATGCCGGGCATAGAGCTCTTCTAGCTCGGGCACTAGACGCTCGTACATATCAACCTCCGTGATAAACAAGTCATGGAAATCGTGCTCATCGCCACGATCATTGACCAACGGTATTTTCAATATGTAACTCATATCTTTAGAGCTTTTATCTGCTTGTAAATATATAATATAAGTCTGAGTTGCCTCTCTATATGCATACATAAAATATATATATATCACTGACCCACCTTTTAGTCGCATCACAATGCCAATGCGCAGCACAATTGTCAGATAGTTTTCCCCGCCGCTAATCGCGGCGGTGCACTCAAATTTTTGGATTGTGTCAAAATCATTATAATTTTGTTTTAGTAGACCACTAAAAAGATGCTGATTTACCCATTCCGGTGCATCGACAGACGACATTTGTTATTGTAATTCTTTTATCAGTGTGCTGCGATCATGTATAGCGCTTCCAACGATCGGACTGCAACTGAGCGAAAGCTTCTCTGCTGAGCGTTAAATAGATACCACATCTTCAAAAAGCTCAAGAGAGATTCGTAAGCTGTTGTTACTGCTGCTCATAAATAATATTTAAATATTTATCAGCTGAATAACAAAATATTCTACAGCTGTTATTAATTATTATTGTAATTTCCGCTTATTAGTTAGCCCTGCGCAATAGCTCTCATTTTTCAAAGAACTAGAGACTTACCCAAAAATTTTTAATTATTTTGATTTAAAGTTGTAGTTTGCAATCATATTTGTCGAGAATAATAAGCAAGTGCTGCGTTTAATGGTTATTGTAATTAGATATTACTTTTTTTATTCTCCTTTGCATGAAGTGTCGTCTTTGTCACACTTGAAAGCCTTTTGTCAGGGATATTAAATAGGATCAACCTAGAATATATATTTATGACTTGTAACTTTCTAAGGAGGAAATGCCTTGAAATGCGATATATTTTTTGAGACATTACTTGATTTTTTTTGCTTGGGCATTACTTAATTTAATTGATTTATTGTAAGCATTTAAACATGCAATGTTTTTATTTGGTAATTTGTTCAGTTTGGGTTTAATTATATTTAGCGCTTAACGCTATGCATGTAAACATGTCGTCTAAGCTTATCCGGTCGGGCAAAGTCCTTGGCACAGAACGTGCACTGATAGGGTCGCTCACCCGTATGCTTGCGGCGATGCACCTTTAGTTCGTAATGCACTGTAAAGGACATGTCACAGAGATCGCATTTAAATGGCTTCTCGCCGTTATGACGACGCATGTGAATGTTGAGCTTGTTGGGCGTCAGAGATTCCAGGCCACATAGTGAGCAGAGGTACTTCTTGCCTGGATTCTTTTTAGCGACATGCATGTCGCGTATGTGCTTATCCAGGCTTGGCTGCACTACGAAGGAGCGCCAGCAGTGTGGACATTGATATCTGAAACGCCTACTTCGCTTGATCGTAACGGGCGCCTGATTGGATGATTTGGGGTGTTGACTGGACATATGCTGTTCCAGATTTTCGCGCCACATAAATTTGTACCCGCAGCGTGAGCACTTGAATTTCTTTTCCTGGTTGAGGCACTGCGTGCGCAAATGCTGCTCCAGCACGGACTACAAAAGCGGTAAAAATATTACCACATTGTTTGTGACCCTGAACGGGATAAACTCACCTTGTCAACGGTCTTGTAAATACAATGCTCACAGGAATATGGCAACTTGTCGAAGGTGTGTAGGGAATACTGATGCTCGCTCATGTCGCGCCGTCGTTGAAAATTCATATCACATAGCGCACATTTATATGATCTACCAGAGCCCGCCGAATCATTGTCGCTTTC